CCCTCTCTTTTGCATTTACATTCCAACGCTGTATTGGATTATGTAACGCGTCAGCTACCTTCCAACGCTGTATGTTAAGTATATTTAGTGATCTGGTAGAACGATATCTAGAAGTCTTTATGGATGATTTTTCAGTTTATGGGGGTTCATTTCATATATGTCTAGAAAATCTAGTAAAAGTGCTCATTTGATGTGAAGAAACAAACGTTGTTTTAAATTGGGAAAAATGTCGTTTCATGGTTACACAAGGTATTGTTCTAGGCCATATAGTATCCAAAAAAGGAATAGAAGTGGAACAAACAAAAATTGATCTGATAGCTAATTTGCCTTCAGCAAAAATAGTAAAAGATATTCGCTCATTTCTAGGTCATGCAGGATTTTATAGAGATTTATAAAAAATTTTAGTTTAATAGCCAAGCCTATATGTAATTTGTTATGTCAAGATATACTATTTGAATGGAATAAAGCATGTCAACTATCATTTGATAAATTAAAAAACATGCTTATTTTTGCACCTATCATGCAACCTCTTGACTGGTCATTACCTTTTGAAATAATGTGTGATGCAAGTGATTATGCGGTAGGAGCTATATTAGGACAAAGAAAAGAGAAAAAACCTTATGTTATATACTATGCAAGTAAAACTATAAATGATGCGCAAATGAACTATTCAACCACAGAGAAAGAACTACTTCTTGTTGTATTTGCATTAGATAAATTTCATTCATATCTGGTTGGATCATCAATTATTGTATTTACTGATCATGCAGTTTTAAAATACTTACCAAGAAAGATGCTAAATCACGTCTCCTACATTGGATATTATTACTACAAGAATTTGATTTAATCATCAAAGATAATAAAATCATAGAAAATGTGGTAGCTGATCGCTTGTCAAGATTAAACTATGAAATAAAGGAAGAACCAACTCCGATTAGAGAAACTTTTCCAGACGAACAATTATTAGCAGTCACAGAAATACCATGGTATGCATATATAACTAATTATTTAGCTACTGGTACTATTCTCTCTAATTATACCTGGTCTGATAAAAATAAGTTTCTAAGTGAAGTACGCAACTTTTTCTAGGAAGATCCTTAAGTGAAACCCGGGAAAAATTTGAAGTTTTTCTGACAAAGGGCAAAATAGTACTTTGTCACTATTATGCGAGATTAAAATGCGTATTTCTATAGAGCTCGGATGGATCAACGGACTTCACTGTTGGATTCGTATCACTAAATTGAGTTATCACGTCAATTTTTGTCGAATTCTGAGATAGTCAAATTTTACACGTTTTTCAAGATGATTGAGTGACGAATGAACTTTTAAAGGTCCCCGAAAACGGAAATTATAAAATTTCCTTATAATTGAGTAAAAGTTCAAATAAAATTAATTTGAACAAAAACCAGAATTTAATTAAGTCGTTTCGGGTTAAAAACGGACCTGAAAGTGATAAACGTGCGGGACAATGTGGACCGCGCAATTAAAAGTATAAATATCACAAAATATCTGAAAAATTAGATACTTCTTACCCTTGGCCAGCTGTGTTTAGACGTTAGAAGAGAGAGAAGAGAGAGAAGAGAGAAAATAGAATTTCTACCTTTCTTTCTTCGATCCAAGAAGTTCCATCGGTCGGAATTCTTCGGACCAAAAGTTAAAGTTGGTCTACACGACGAGGGCTACACGTATGTACCAAGAATGACGAATTTCATCAAAGTTTCAAGGAAGAAATTTTGGGTAAATCGAAGGTTTGGGGCTTAAGAGTTGTCTTGAGGTTTCTCCCTTTCTTTTACGCTCCAAGAGGTAGGGTTTCTCCTACCTTGGTTTATTTTCCTACCTAGAATGCAATATGTAATGTGTTGGTTATAGGAATATATGTAGGTCAGTTACCTATGCATATGAAATAGATGAATGGGTATGAAAAAGGAGTATTGAAATGAGTTAGAATAGACTTTCTAACTTGAATTTGGGATATGGTAATTACTTGGTTGGTAATTCCATGGAAAAAGTAATTTTATGGGCATGCTATATGTTTAATATTATGTCTTGTGAATGATGTGAGAAATATTGAGTCTTGATGGTATTTTGCAAAGAATGCCTAAGTGGAAATTAAGTTGTTGTAGCATGGATTATGTATAACAAGCTTGTGAATTGTTGATTGATGCTATGTATTGTTAATGTTTTAGCAACATGTTGATTTTTGGTAATTATCTACAATTGATATTAATTGCCATGTTGTATGTGGATACTTGGTTAAATGGCTCATTTGGCATACATTGCATATAAGTATGACATAGACATTGCAATGGTGCACTACATTGCATTTGCACGGGGAATACACATCTATGACCATGAGTACGGGTGTGTGAGTGCATGGTTAGATCAATCATCACACTTGGTGTTTGATGAGTGGGCTCGGGAAAGTGGGGTTGAACATCCTACTGAGTCGCACGGTTGCATTCATGAAAAAACTTGTGTCGGGTATAGCAAGATCGAGTGCAAGGCCCCGCTAATGGTTTATACACTTTTGACGGTGCAAGTCCAAAAAAAAGTGTATCGGTGTACGGAGCCGGCGGTGCAACACTAAAAGTCCGCTACCCAAATAATGACACATGGTTTTTGGTTATATAAATGATTCATTTGATGGGAAACATCCATAAATGAATTGGTTTTTATGAACACATAAGTTTTGTTTCAAAATGATCTTTGGATGTATTTCATCAAGGATAAATGTTTTACACTTGTATTGCATAGTGTGGTGGGAGCCGGTGAGGACTCGGGTTGATGTGCGTGAGTAAATCTCTTTTCATTCATGGCATGACATGGTAGATTTCCAACATGAATCATGTATATTCTTGATTGGAATATGATTGTGAATGTTGTATATGAACTTTGCAATGCATTTAGGTTGGGGAGTAGCCTCGGTAGGAAATATTCTACTGGTGTTGGCTCACCCTATACATGAAACATTTCATGTGCGGGGTTTGTACCGAGAGAGGACTCGCATTCGGGGCCTCAACGATGAAGAAAAGCCGACTTGTAGCTTTTGTGGCATATTTTGTGTAATCTTTGTTGGAACAATGTTTTAACATGTAAAAATTATGCACATGCATGTAATAGAACTTGTATGGATTATGTATAATGTAGAAAAATGTCATTATCCATGTTTGGAATGAATTTGGAAATGTTTTGGATGAATTGAAAATGAAAATCTGATGAAACATGAAATTATGGGCAAAACCTTCCGGAAGGTTAGTGTAAAATTTATGTCCAGTAGGTAAAACCTTCCGGAAGGTTCATGCTATTTTTCATCCAGTGGGCAAACCTTCCGGAAGGTAAGTAAAACCTTCTAGTAGAAATTTGTCCAGTAGGATCCATAAAACCCTCCGGTAAAAATTTTCTAGTGAGGACACCTTCTGAAAGGTCCATAACAAAACCTTCCGGAAGATTTTCCAAAAATCTGAAATTTTAAGAATGCATTGTCATACTCTTGGGCTAAGTGTTCTTTGGTTCTAATGACATAAATGGACCTTAAATGAGATGCATTGGGGTATGTTGAACCTCGATGAGATTAAATGAATTAAAGGAAACACGGATCCACGTATAGGTTGTAATCCCGGTTACAGGGATGTGATAGACATGATGTCGGGTTATACGACAATCACGGGTATTTTCGCAGGTAGATGGGTGGTCAACGGGACCCCCGATTTTAGGGGCATCACACCTTACCTATTTAAATATTGTAAAGATCAAATAATAATGCGTTGTGTACCTAATCATGAAATAGGACAGGTAATTCAGTTTTGTCACTCCAAAGCTTGTGGAGGTCATTTTGCTTCAAAGAAAATCGCTGCTAAAATTCTACAGCGTGGATTTTATTGGCCAACTCTTTTTAAAGATGTTCATATATTTTGTTTAAATTGTGACAGATGTCAAAGAATGAGAAATATTTCAAAAAGAAATATGATACCTTTAAACCCTATTTTAATTATCAAAATTTTTAATTGTTGGGACATTGATTTTATGGGTCCATTTCCCCCATCTTTTGGATATCTGTATATTTTAGTTGCAGTCGACTATGTCTCTAAATAGGTAGAGGCAATTCCATGTAAAAATAATGATCACAGAACAATTATCAATTTTTAAAAAAAAATATTTTGTCCAGATTTGAAATTCTTCGGACCATTATAAGTGACAGTGGATTACATTTTTGTAATAAATTTTTTGAAAATCTTATGAAAAAATACTCAATTTAACATAAAATATCCATTCCATACCTTCTACAGACAAGTGGACAAACTGAATTAGCTAATAGGGAGATAAAATATATTTTAGAAAAAATAGTAAATCCAAATCGTAAAGATTGGTCCTTAAGATTGACTGATGCGCTTTGAGCTTACCGTACTGCATATAAAACTATTTTAGGAATGTCTCATTATCGGTTAGTATATGAAAAATCATGTCATTTGCCTGTAGAATTAGAACATCGAGCATATTGGGCAATCAAAATGATGAATTTTGAAATGGACAAAGCTGGAGTAGCTCGCAAACTTTAAATAAATGAATTAGAGGAATTAAGAAATGAAGCTTATGAAAATGCTTCGATTTGATTTGACATATTATAAACCCCGTTTGGAGTACGGAACAAAAGTTACTATCAAAATAGCGTTCAACCCTTTTTAAATCTGAATTTCTTGAAAACTCCTTTTGATTGGTGACTTCCTTCCTTCCCGTAGACTCCTTTTGCTCACGGGGACATCATAAGCTACATAAACTCCTCCTTTCACTCCCCCTTTTAGATTCTTAAAGAGCCCTAATTATAAATTGGGGGCTTTTTGCTTTTTCCTTCCTTCAATAGGATTTTAAAAACCCTAGGTATAAATAAGAGACTCCTTTTTCATTCCTCCCATTTCATCTATCTTGGGAGAGAGCTCCTTCTTGAAACGCTTGTGAACTCAAGATTTGAGATCTTCTTATTTGAGATGAGTTTTTGGACATCAATGTTGATTGAGGAGGGAGATGTGCGAAGTTCCGTTGGTACCCAGGGGAATGGATTGATTGGCGCTGACACAGATGACTATGAAGTTGTTGGCATGATGGAGATTGAAGGAGGCATCAGAGAAAGGGTCCTAGGAGCCGGAGTGGAGGCAGAGATGGGAACCCCGCTGGGCGCTGCTGTAATCTACGTACGCGGGGGGCTTCCTGATGCTGATTGCACACTATAGGGCGCAAGAGAAGCTGTCCGGGGTGAGCTTAGGCGAGCAAGGGCCGAGGGAGGCCAAGGAGAGCAGGTGTTGGGTGTTACTATTGCTCGTGTAGTGGGCGAGCAGACAAACAAGCGCCGTTGTCGCTTGTGCAATGGGCGAAGGAGGCAGGCTGACTAGGCATTTCAAGGAGAACGTCCAAACATCAGGCGCCGAGGGCCAGGCGACCCAGACGCTAGTGTGGGACCTTTGGGCCAGCTGAGAAATGAGATGGGCGTCGATCTGAGCACTATTGGCCAACAGGCTTGTGGAGGTGGGCGTGTAAAAGCCGCTGGGCACGCAGGGATCGCTGGGCGCGCAGCTAGGCGTGCATGTATGGTTGGGGCTACTTTAGGGAAACAGGGAGGCAGGTGTGCGCTACCAAGGGCTAGCCATGGTCTAGGCAGTGGAGCGAGCACCGAGGGGCGTCTAGGCGTTTCCATGCACGTAGATGGGGCGAGCCATGGTGGGTGCCTAGGTGCTACTACTGGGAGCGCCTCAATGGCCCTCAAGGAGAAGGCACTGGCGCCCACTGTTGTTGCCATTCGAATGGGAGGCATTAACTGCGGTGGGAAGCTTAGGCGAGCCCTAAGCATTGCCAATGGAGGTGGTTTGGGCGAGCCCTTTGCCTATAGTGGAAGTGATTTGGGTGAGCTGACCTTTGTTCATGGTGGAGGTGAGTTGGGCGAGCTGCCCCTTGCTCATGTTGGAGGTGATTTGGGCGAGCTACCCCTTGCTCATGTTGGAGGTGATTTGGATCCTTCAAGTGGAACTCCTCAAACTCAAATTATTTAAGGCCTTCCTGGTAGTGACTCAGGCAACTCTTCACGCCCTCACAACAAAAAGCACCAAGCCAAGGTAGCCCTTAATGATGATGGATCTAAAGTGAGTACTATTTCTAGCACTTTAAATACACACACTAAGAATTTATGGATTGTCTCCACCTACCACATTCCTCCAACTGTGTTGTGCCTTCGAGCTGAGATGGGTGAGCCCGCTTGTGATAACTCCTCTGGTGACATTGTCATCTATGAGGAGATGCTTGAGGCTAGGCACAAGTTCCCTATCTCTTCTTCTATTTGCCTTGTTCTGCATTACTTTTCACTCACTCTGGGGTGATTGTCACCCAATGGCTTGTGGAGGTGGGTGTGCAAAAGCTGCTGGGCATGCAGGGTTCGCTGGGCGCACAGTTGGACGTACAGGTGTGGTTATGGCTACTTTAGGCAAGCAGGGAGGTGGGTGCACGCTATCAAGGCTGATCATGATCTAGACAATAAGGCCAACACTGATGGGGAGAGCCATTGTAGGTGCCCAGGCATTGCTGCTAGGAGCGTATCGATGGAGCTCGAGGAGGAGGCACGGGTGCCCGCTGCTACTGTCGTTCAAGTAGGAGGCATTGACAACGGTGGGCAACTAGGGTGAGCTCTAGGCATCGTTGATGGTTTGGGTGAGCCCTTTGCCCATTATGGAAGTGATTTGGGTGAGCTGCCCTTTGCTCATGGTGGAGGTGATTTGGGCGAGTTGCCTCTTTCTCATATTGGATTTGATTTGGGTGAGCTGCCCCTTACTCATGTTGGAGGTGATTTGGCTCCTTCAAGTGGAACTCCTCAAACTCAGATTATTCAGGGCCTGCTTGGCAATGGCTCAGACAACTCTTTATGCCCTCGCAACAAAAAGTACCGAGCCAAGGTAGCCCTTGATGATGATGGATATAAAGTGAGTACTCTTTCTAGCACTTTAAATACAGACACTGATATTTTGTGGATTGTCTCTGCCTACCACATTCCTCCAACTGTGTTTTACCATCGAGCTAAGATAGGTGAACCCGCTTGTGATAACTCTTATTGTGAAATTGCCATATATGAGGAGATGCTTGAGGTTGGGCTCAGGTTCCCTATGTCTTCTTCTATTTTCCTTGTTCTGCATTACTTTTCACTCACTCCGAGGCGATTGTTGCTCAATGGCTAGAGAGTTTTGTTGTGCTTCCTAGTATTGTGAAGGAAGGTGCATCATGAGGATGCCTTTCCTATCGAGTTTCATGCAGCTTATACTTTGAGAAAGACTCCTGCTCCCAATCGGGGCTGGTACTATTTTACTACAAGTGACAAGTTAATTACTGGACTGCGCTCCAACTGACATAGCTGGAAGTCTTGCTTCATATTTTTCACCGGGGAGTGGGCTTGAGAGGCCGATAGGGCTTTGGTACCAACACGATGGGGTACCCCTAAGAAACTTGGTACACCCTAGACTTACTTTCTCTCGTTTGGTCCTTTTTTTTTATTATTTATCATGCCTCTTGCAGATTCTCCTATGCTCTCCAAGGACCAAGAGTGGAAGTTGTAAGTCGTGAGGGCTCATCCTGAAAAAGACTTTGGAGTTCTTATGTCCAAAGACGGTGGTAGGGCTGGTGGACCCTCTCCGAGATCTGGCAGTTCCTCTTTGAAGTGAAAAGTTACGTCGATTCTCTTTTACCTTCCCCTTTTACTTGGTGCTTTTCATTTAGATAACACTTTACTTCATTTGCAGTAGATAGAATGGTGATTGAGTCTCGCCTCTCTAATAGGAGCACTCCTCCTCCTAAGGTGGCAAGGATGAACGATGCCTCCCAAGTGAACTCTCCAATAGTGTCGCCTGAGGTGAGCTCTTAAACAACCCCTCCAGTTGAGCCTCGGGTGTGCTCCCATCAAGTGACCCCTCCAATGGTGCCTCCTCAGTCGGTAACTCCTTTAGTTACAACTGTTACTCTAGAGTCCCCCTTGTCGGCCACACCTTCTACCCCTCATTCGTCCACTCCTCCTGCGGGAATTTCTACAAAGGAACCGATTCAGATTAGCTCCATGTTGGGTAATGCGCAAGTCATAAAAGGATCGACTTGGGAGGTTTGTGTTTCCTAACGATGTTAGTGAGATTAGTGCTCTAGGCACCGAAGGAATCATCAGCTCTTTTTTGTAAGGCCTACCTCAGGTAAAGGTCTGTCATCTCCCTTTATCCAGTCCTTCCTTAAGCGTCTAACATTCTTTTGACTTTTATCTTTCTTCAACCTTCTACTGCATCTATGTGTTTACTTTCAAGGGCCTATTATCATGACCATCTAAAGCAGAGTCATGAAGTGGTGTAAAAGGAGTTCTTTGCTGCTCAGGGGAAGATTGTTGAGCTTGAAGCTGCTGATAGGACTTCTGAGGCTGAGCTTGTGACAACCCGTGAGAGGGAGACTAAGCTTGAAACTGAGTTTTTTGATGACCCATGAGAGGGCAACCAAGCTCGAGGCTGAGCTTGTGGCGACCCGTGAGAGAGATGCACTTAGAGAGGTTGAGCTTATGGAGGCCCGTGAGAGGCCCGTGCTCAGAGAAGCTGAGCTTTGTGGAGACCCGTGAGAGGGCCATGCTGAGAGGCTACCACAGAGGCAGAGGTGAAGGAAGCTCATGAGAGAGCTTCTTGGGCTAAGGAGATGGCTATCATGGCTGAGAGTGATTTGGATACTGGCCTTGCCGATGCCTTTATTGACGGTTATGAAGAGCTCCGAGGAAAGATATTTGTTATTTTCCCTAATATTGATGTTTTAAGCTTCTTGCCATTTGAGGTGCCAGATGATAGTGATGGAGGATCTGATGATGCCAAGGATGATCAGGAAGATGAGGAGGGGGAAGACCATGAGAGTACTTAGAGCACTAGGGACTTTTGATTTTTTTTTTAGAAAAGCATTTTGCAGCCTTACTTTTGTAAGTGGCTTTTTGCCATTGATGCTTCTTTGAAATTGAATATAAAAAATGCAAAGTCTTTTATAGTAAATCTAGAAAGTTTTATTCATTCACTGCTTATGTCAAGCAATATCGGGTAATAGTCCCAAAAAATTACAAAAAATAAAACCAAGTTCCCCAACTTTTCTACTCTCTTAAGGTGTCACTGGTAGTACCTCTTCAGGTGCTCAGGATTCCATGTGTGAAGTAAGACCTTCCCCTTAGAATTATGGATCTTGTAGGTTTCTGGCCTCACCACTTCTGTTATGAGGTAGGGTCCTTCCCAGTTTGGTCCCAGCTTTCTTTCTTGCAAATCCTTGGTGGCTAGATCACTTTTTTGAGGACCAAGTCTCTTGTTTGGAAGGAATGAGGCTTCACCCTCGAGTTGTAGTACTTCGTCATACGGCACTTGTACTCCGCGTTGTCGATCACAGCCATCTCCCTTGCCTCCTCTATGAAGTTTAGGTTGATGCAGAGTCATTTCTCGTTAGTGATAGGGTCATGGTGTTGGACCCTTAGAGAATGTATCCTGATCACCACTGGGATGACTGCCTCAGTTCCAAAGGTGAAGGAGAAGGGATTTTCTCCAATTGGGGCTCTTGGCGTGGTTCGGTAGGCCCATAATACGTCTGGGAGTTCGTCAACCCAAAAAATCCTACTTTCTTTCGAGCCTTGTCTTTAGGCTGTGTAATACCGTTCTCACCATGACTTTTGCTTACCCATTTGCCTGCGGGTGCACTAGGCTAGAATGAGGCTGCTTTATCTGAAGATCGGAGCAGAAGAAGTTGACGAGCTTGTTGTCGAATTGCTTAGCGTTATCACTGACAATGGCGTGGGGTATTCCGAAGCGGCATACTAGGTTTTTCCAGATAAAGTCATTAACCTTCACGTCTGTTATCTTTGGCAGGGGTTCAGTCTCTGCCCACTTTGTGAAGTAGTGGACGGCGACCACTACAAACTTGCACTGTCCTCTACTCAGAGGTAGGGGGCCTAGGATGTCGATGCCCCATTTGGAAAAGGACCACAGACTCACGATGACTTTTAGCTCCTTTGGCGGCTGCCTGGGTACAGTGGTGAAGTTCTAACACTTGCCACACTTTCTAGCAAACTCCTAGGCGTCCCTCACCATGCTAGGCCAGAAGTAGCCCTATCTGAGTGCTTTGTGGGTGAGGGAGTGTCCTCTAGAGTGATTTCTACAAACACCTTCATGGATCTCTTGTAGGGCATAGTTAGCTTCTTTAGGCGAAAAACACCGCAGTAATGATAAGGAATAGTCTTTCTTGTACAGGGTATCTTGTAATGTGGTAAACTTGGAAGCTCTTATCCAGAGCTTCCTGACTTCCAGGGGTCATCTAGCAACACACCCTTCTGGAGGTATGCCCTTATCGGGGTCATCTAGTTTGACTCGGCAAACAAACAGTTGACGTTTGTGGCTTCCACGCCTAACTTGCTTGGTTCGAGCTGGTGACCAATGAATGCAGGTCCTTCCTGTGGGGCTTCCAAGGATGAGGCAAGCTTGGCGAGTGCATCTGCGGCCACATTGTCCTCTCTAGGTATGTGGTAGATTTGGAACCACTGGAACTTTGTGATCAATGCTTTCACCATGGCAAGGTACTCATGCATTTTCGTTCCTCTTGCTTCGAACTCGCCCTTCACTTGGTTGACTATCAGCTGAGAGTCACTATAAGAGATAAGGTGTTGGACTTCCATCTCTATTTCCAACTTTAGGCCAGAGATAAGGGCTTCATATTCTGCCTCATTATTAGAGGTGATGAAGTGGAGCTTTACATCATACTTGATGGGAGTGCCGTCGGGGCTGATCAGGATTAGGCTTGTTCCACCTCCTTCATTGGTCGAGGAGCCATCCACATAGAGCTTCCAAAGTGATAGAGAAGTGATCACTGCGGGAGCCTGGGTGCAAAAAGGGGGCACCTAGGTGTTAGGCCTAGGCAACTGGGCATCTATGCTGGCCTGGACGCCTGGGAGTCTGTTATGGGTGCCTGAGTGTCCTCTCCAGGATTCTGGGTGTCCTTGCCGGGCGGGCTAGACGTCTGAAGTGTGGAAGGCTCATTGGTCTTCTCCTCTGCTGGTGTAAGCTCAACAACAAAATCTGTCAAGGCTTATACTTTGATGGCTGCCCTTAGCTGGTACTGGACATCGAACTCGCCCAGTTCCACTACCCATTTAAGGAGTCTCCCGAATACACCCTGATTTCCCAAGACTCTCTTTAGAGGTTGGTCTGTGACGATAACAATGTTGTGACTCTTGAAATAATGTCGTAGATGTCTTGCTATTGAGATCAGGGGCAACGCTAGCTTTTCTAGCCCTAAATATCTAATTTCTACTCCTCAATATGCTTTGCTCACATAATAGATAGGTTTTTGGACTCCGTTGTTGTCTCTGACAAGGACGGAGCTTATTGCCGATAGGGAAACAGAAAGGTACAGATATAAAGTTTCCCCTAGTGCAGCATATGAGAGGAGAAGAGGCGTAGCCAAGTAGGCTTTGAGCCTTTGGAAGGCTTCCTTTGCCTCAAGTTCCCACTCAAAGGCTTTTCAGAGAATCCTAAAGAAAGGAAAGCATTTGTTTGCAGACTTGGAAACGAACCTGTTAAGTGCTGCGATTTTTCCATTGAGGCGCTAGAGCTCCTTGGTTGAGGAGGGTGACTTCATATTGAGGATGGCC